AGGCCGAGGCCGCGCCCCGGCTTGGCATCTTTGGTGCTCTGCCCGATTTAATCCGACAGGCCGCGGACACGCATGCCGTGCGCTGCGTAGCAGCAGGCGGTTCCTCCTCCTTTTCCTGCCGTTGGTTGGTTGGTTGATTGGCGTGCCTTGAGCCGCGCTCCGCTGCGCCGTTCCTTGGATGGCGGGCGGCGGCGGCGCGGCAGGGAAGGCTGCGCGGGGCCAGCGCCCACCGCCGTTCCCGGGCCGTGCGCTGCAAGCACGCCCGTCGGGCTCGCAAGACACCCATTCCCGCCCTTGTGGCTGCGCGTTTGTTGGGCGGCGCCTTGGTCAGGTTGGGGCCCTGGTGGATTTCCAGTCTGGGCCAACCTGGCGGCGCCAAATATTTCGGCTCGCCATTTGTTAGCGCGAAGGCGACGCCCAACTTCACGGTCGCATGGCCGAACGCAGAAGATTTTCAGCCAGGTCGGGCGGCCGCGCACCAGAGACCCCGCCTCCCAAGCCTGCGCGCGTAGAAAGGAAAGGATTAGATGGGGTGGCCGCGAAAACCACATTTCCCGAATGCACAGCCTCCTACGAAATTACGCATTTTTTCAGCTCCCGTTTCTCGGCCCTCAGGAATCGCGCTCCCGCTGCATATTGCCTGGCGGTTCAAGCAGAAACAGAATTTACGTTTCAACGACCCGCCTGGTCAACCCGCCCGTCTGGACCTGCCCGCCCGACCAGCCCGTTTTCAATGCCCCTCGCTGCCCGTGCTGGTTTCGCGGTCGCCTTCGCTCGCTGCCCTTCGTGGCCCCGTTGCTGCCCTCAGTGGCCCCGTCGCTGCCCATTGTGGCCCCGCGTCATATGCCCTTCGTGTCCTCCGCTCGCAGTCGCCCGTCGTGGCCCCATGCGCGTGCCCTTCGTAGACCCGCTGTCGCCCTTCGTGGCCCTCTCGCTGCTCTTCGTGGCCCCTTTGCCGCCCTTTGTGGCCCCATATGCAAATGCCCTTCGTGGCCCCCGCTCGTTCGCGCCCGTCGTGGCCCCATGCGCATGCCCTTCGTGGCCCCGCTGTCGCCTTTCGCGGCCCCCTCTCTGCCCTTCGTGGCCCCGTTTCTGCCCTCAGCGGCTCCGTCGCTGCCCTCTGCGGCCCCCCTATACGCATGCCCTTCGGGGCCCCCGCGCGTTCGCGCCCGTCGTGGCCCGCGCCAACAACAGCTCCCGCCTGAGACTTCCTGACTTCTCTACTCTTTCCCTGCATCTGCATTTCCATGATTCACAAACTCGTTTATGCTGCAGGGAAATGATGAGGAGCAGCCCCACGTGCGTTCGCCTCCACTCCTCAATTCCTGCACGCCCAATGCCTGCGTAGCGGGCTGCGGTGTCGACGGCCGGCGGTTTTCTGCGCGAAGCGGCGGAAGTATGCTCAACTTGCTCTGTTCGTGTGTGCTCTGGTGCGGTCTCGCATCGCGGTTCGCCCGCGCTGCTCCGGTCTCGTCTGCTGGGCCGATCGTGTCTCGCAGTTATTCTGTTGCTGCTCCCGCGCGCTGGCTCCTGGGAGCCAGATCGAGAATGCTCCCTGACAGGAGCAGCGGCCACAAACTCGCTGACAGGGGCTGCGCCAACAACAAAAAAGGCTCCCTGATAGGAACGGCGCTCCCGAAGCTCCCTGAAAGGAGCTGCGCCTGCGTGCCCCCTGTAGAAGCTAGCGGTGCCCAGCGTTCCCTGAAAGGAGCTGCGCCCGCGTGCTCCCCGACAGGACCGGCGCCCTAAAGCTCCCTTTTTGCGTGTTCCCTGACAGGAGCAGCGGCTGAAAACTTCTTGACGGGAGCGGCGCCTCAAAGCTCCCTGATAGGACCGGCGCCTCAAAGCTCCCTGACAGGAGCGGCGCCCCAGAAGTTCCCCGAAGGGGGCGGCGCCCAATGCTCCCTGCAAGGAGCTGCGCCTGTGTGCTCCCCGGCAGGAGCGGCCCCCCCCAACGCTCCTTCCTGTGCTCCCTGACAGGAGTAGCCCCCCAAGTTCCCTGAAAGGAGCTGCGCCTGTGTGCTCCCTGACAGAAGCGGCGCCCCAAAAGCTCCCTAGAAGGAGTCGCGGCTGTGTGCCTCCTGGGGCGGCTCCGTGGCGCTGCGCCAGCGCGCTCCCCGGCAGCAGCCTGGCGGCTGTCTGCCAGCTTTCTGCCCGCCCTCATGCCGCCCTAGTGGCCCGCGCCGGCGTCCTGCCCTGGCTGGGAGGCCAAGGGGCGGGTTCCCAGAAGGCTCCTGCCACACGCCTATGCTGGCGCAAGGACGCCGGCCACTCTACGGTGGGCCTGGCTACCGCAATAGTTTTCACTCCGCTCGTGCTCCATTGTGCTATTCCTCAGTTTTTCGCATTCCGCCCACTCTTCCCCAGGCCACCCCATCCCACCCCAACGATCTCCCCCCCGCGTCCCCAGCGCGCCAGGGAGCCCCGCCCACTGCACTGCCCCCTCCGCCACAAACGTTTTATTCTGCGTCGCGCACCACCCCCCTCCGCGCCCCCAACGCAAGAGTGGGACCCCCGCGCCGTGGCTCTCTGCCCCGAGCCCCCCCGCGTCCCCAGCGACCCAGCGGGAACCCCGCCCACTGCCCCCTCCGCCACGAACGCTTCATTCCGCCTCGCACACCCTCCCCGCCCCCCCCCCCCCCCGCGTCCCCAGCGCAAGAGCTGGACCCCCGCGCCGTGGCTTGTCTGCCCCGAGCTCCCCCGCGTCTCCAGCGCCCCAACGGGAAACCCGCCCGCCCACTGCCTCCTCCGCCACGAACGCTTTATCCCGCGCAGCGACGCATACCACCTCCCCCACCTCCCTCCCCGCGTCCCCAGCGCCTCATTGGGGGCTCCGCCCCGTGCCCCCTCCGCCCCGACAAATTGATTCCGCGTCGCGACGCACGCCACTTCCCCCCCCCCCCACCCCGGTTGCACCCCCGCCCAGTGGCCCTCTGCCCCAAGCCCCGCCCAATGCCCCCTCCCCCCCGACCATTTTGTTCCGCGTCGCGAAGCACGCCACCTCCCCCCCCCATTCTCTCCGCGTCCCCAGCGCCCCAATGGGACCTCCGCACCGTGCCCCCTCGGCCCCGACCATTTTATTCCGCGTCGCGACACACACCACCTTTCCCCCCCCCTGCCAACCTGGGATTTGGGCCCCGTCGCGGGGCCCCGAGGGGCGATGTCTTGCCCCCTCTTGCCCCCTCCTCCTCCGGCTCCTTCTCCTCCCCTTCCCTTTCGCGCAAGAGCCATGGCGCAAGTGCCATTTGTTCCCAGTCCCTCCTCCAGATTCCTCCGTGCGCCCCCCGCTCCTCCGCACTCCTCCCGGTTCCTCTTCTCCACTCCTTGCCGCTCCTCCTCCGGAGACCCTACTCTTGTCTACTCCATCCCAATCCACTCCACATCTCCGCGCTCCTCTCGACACAGTTGCAATTCTCACTGTCTTTCTGCCCCACTCTCCCAATATCCCGCTTCTTCCCCCGAGGGTTCCCCCCCGAAAAAAACTTTGAGCAAGCGCCCGCAAACATAAAAAAACAAGCGAAACAGCTCTCGAGAAACACACGCATGAGGGGATCCGGGAATGGGTCGGGGAACTGCCACACCCTACTGCGCCAGCAGCATGCGTCATGCGAGCCCGTGCCTGGAGGCGTGGGGAAGGGAGAGCGGACAAAGCCGTTGTGTGAACAGGATGCAAGACTGGCCAAATCAAGACCAAGTCGCAGAGCACAGTCACAGTTTAACAAGAGACCTGATCTCTGAGATTTGTCTCCCAAAATTGCGCCCACTTCCACGACACGCGCATTAGGAAAGGCCCAAGGAGACACTCATGGAGCCTCGAGCCCTTTCTTCCAAATATCTGGGTCATGCCGAATCTGGCTCAACTGGTCCTTGGCCCGAATGCGCTCCGCCAGGACAACCACAACGAAGCCATACCATACAGATGTTCGATGTGAGAGAAGCCAGGGTTGATCGATCGGCCGAAGTCGAACACACCAGTTGTTCGATCTCAGAACTGCCCCCCTAACAACAAAAACTGAACGTGCCACGTACTACCGAACCACTTGTATATGATACATCCGATCGGGCCAGAAGCGCAAAGCAGGGGTGATGCCTACGCAGAATGCGAGGTCGATCGAGTGTAACTGTTCGGCATGGTCGACAACGACACTGTCGATCCAGACACATCCTATGTGGGCTGGGCATTAGCACAGTCGAAGGACGAAGCCTCCGAATGGGCAGCGACGAGGATACGGATGACTCCTATCTCCAGGAGGGATGAGGGATTATGAAAGAGAGATGTACGAGATCTTGGTAAACACATACGGGCGAATGTACATGAGGGAGGGCAGATGGAGGAGAAGAAAACAATGAGGATGAGGAGAAGCAGCACTGACTGATAAGGTAACAGTATCTGATGGTTGATTGTTTAAGCTGGGCGGCGGGAGTAGCGGTGGAGAGAAACATATAAGGAGGATGCACAGGGGATGGAGACGGGAGGAGATGGCATTATAGTGAAGGATAGGGGAATGAAGATAGAGGACGATGTGGAAGGGAGGGTGGATAACAGAGGATGAACAAGATGAGCAGGTGGGCAAATATGAAGGGAAGGACGGATGACATAGAGGGGCGATGAGAGAAGAGGAGGGATGAGGGACGAACGAGAAGGGAGACGGGAGGGGGGAACGAGAAGTGCAAGGAGCAGAAGGAGAAAGATGGTAACGATCAACACAACGACGATCGATTCCCTGGGCCCCCGACCTCTCCTGGGGCGCGTCCCAACCGGGATATCGAACCGGATCCAGCCATGGCGACTAGGCACGCTCCTTGAGGCCCAAAACGTCTCACGAAATTCCCAAGGCTTTCGACGACGACGCACAGTGAAGGCGACGACCGCGCCGACGACGACAACGACGACGACGGCCGCAACGACGGCCGCAACGACGGCCGCAACGACGACGACGACGACGACGACGGCGACAACCGCGACCACGACGACGACGGCGGCGGCGGCGACGCGGCGCCTGGCTGCTCGCGTCGGCGGGCGCCGGTCCGGCCAGGGGCGCAGCGGCAGCGCCGCCGGGGCCCACGGCGCCTGGCGCGCCGCCGGCGTCGTCGCCGTCGTGGGCGTCGTCGGCGTCGTGGTCGGCGCCGTGGCTGTCCTCGTTCGTCATCTGCGGCCTCCTCCGCCTCGGCCTCCTCCGCCGCCTCGGCCTCGTGCCCTTCGGCCTCTTCTTCGTCGACCTCCTCCTCCTCAGCATCCTCGGTCTCCTTCTCCTCGTCGTCGCCGCCCTCCTCTTCCTTCTCTTCCTCCTGCTCGGCCTCGTTCTTCTCGTCGTCGTCGACGTCGACGACGTCCTCGTTCAGTCGGCCTCCTCCTCCTCTTCCTGGTCCTCGGCCCCGTCATGCTGCCATCCTCGGCTTCGTACTCCTTATCATGTTTCTTATCATCATTTCCCTCTGTTTACCCTCCCGCCAGGGAATATAACAAGTTGCGTCGGAGTATAACAAGCTGGCAGCAGTTCATGAGAACAAGCAGCGTGACAATTCGCTAACACATTGCCCTCTCTATGCGTCGAAGGTTCGACCCGTCTAACGTGTCGTCTCTTACACACGCCATGGAAGAGGCCACTGCCGTTCTGTTTGCATTCCCGCCGATTCGTATGGCGTGGCCCAGAAAACGTAGACAAGGGAGGGGCCCCACTTAAGCACGCTGCCCAACCAGTCCTTTCTGTTGCGCACAATTGGCAGCCAAACAGCCCAAGAGAGCGCCAAGGCAGCCCAAGAGACCTCGAAGACGGCGCAAGAGGCCCCCAAGACGGCTCCAAGAGAGGGCCCAGGCGGGGGCCCCAGGAGGCCGCAAGAGGCCCCCCAAAAGGCCCCTAAGAGGCCTCAAGAGGCCCCAAGAGGCCCCAGGAGGTTCGAACAATACCGCCCAGAGGCCCCTGAGAGGCCTCCCGCCCGGAAGCAGGATACACAGCTTGACCGAAAGGCTCAAATCTTGTGACTGCCCCCGAACCGAACATCCACAAAGGACATTCCGTACCCTGGCCCAAGCTAAACACCCACATGCCTCATGCACCGCAGAGGCCCCCTCCCACTTCCAGAGGCAACTCACCAGCGACTGTTTCAGCTCAAGCGCTCCGCACGCACCGCGCCAGAGAATATCCGACGCTCAACAGCACCACATTGGCAACGAACGCACGGGGAACCGAGAGCCGTCAAACAAGGCCGGCGGGATGAGCGAGCGATTCGATGGCCTGCTGGATGAGTGCAATTGAGGGGTCTCCCAGAATTGGCCAGTGGTGCCCTGTCGGACAGAAACTCACAAGCAGTATCCGTCCTGTTGGCTGTGCACCGTTCTCCTCCTGTAGAGGGACATGCCCGACTTAAGGCTATGGGGTTCGCTGGCCAGCACAGCGCACCTTCTGCCCCGGGGAATCATCCCCCTCGTCCCCTCTGTCTCCTCCGCCTCGTACTCTACAGCATCCTTGCTCTCCCTGCCGTCCTTACTCCTCGTCACCCCCTGAGGGGGGAGGGAGGGGGGGAGGGAGCGGGGTGGAGAGGGAGGGGCTCGGAGGAGACTGAGGACGAGGGGGAGGAGGAGGGCACCGCGCTCGGGTCTGCCGCCCCGCCCCCCTCGCCCCCCCCGCCCCGCCAGGCCAGCGATAAGAGCAAGAGCCTGCTCCCCCGCGCGCCGCGCCGCGCGAGACGCGAGGCCCGATCGTGCACCGCTGCGGCCTCGCAACGCGCACGAGCGACCCTGGGCCAGAGTGACCTTTCGTCCGCGGCCTCACGGGGGACGCGGGGTGGCCAAACACGAGCGCGCCAGACGCTACTGCCGCATCGCGCTCGGCGATCGGGCACCCCTTTGGGCCCGCACCCAAAGGTCACTCCGGCGAAAGGCCACTCTTGCGTCTAGTCGATCTCCGCCCCTCTGCGGGCGATCTGGAGTGCTGCTCCCGGCCAGGCCCCCGCCCAGACTCGACCCCGCGGACTCCTCGGCGCGATGCCGATCGCTCGCTCGGGTCGCGCCTGGCCGTGAAGACGGCGGAGGCCCGCGACGGGCAGCTGAGGCGGAGGGTGGCGAGGAGGAGGGTGGGCAGAGAGCTGCGAGGAGACGATGAAGAAGATAGGAGGGCGCACAGATGCTGGAGAGCGACGGGAGGCGGGAGCGCAGGCATCGCAGTCGACCCACACAGTAAGGACGAGCAGAGCCCCACTCGCAAAATCATCTGTATTGCCCTCCAAGGCCCTCGCATCCTCACCTTCGATGGGGACGCACAGAGCGGGAACCCCGGGGAAACACATGTCCTTGGGCGAGGGGGGGGCGAGGGCCCGCACGGAGGGTACCTGAGAGGCATTCGTTCCGCGGGGGCATCGAGTGCAGTGCGTGGCCCACCGAACAACCAAACGGCCTCACTACATACATACATACATACATGCATACATACATACATACATACATACGTACGTACATACATACATACATACATACATACATACATACATACATACATACATACATACATACACACACATACATACATACATACCTACGTACGCACGTACATACATACATACATACATACATACATACATGCAGGCATGCAGACAGACAGACAGGCATGCATGCATGCATGCATCCATACATACACACATACCTACCTACATGCATGCATACACACATCCACACACACACACACATATATATATATATATATATATATACTAGAACCACGCGCGCGCTTCGCGCGCGCTTAGGTTCTGTCGAGTCACAGACCCAGGAACCGTTGTGAGAAGAAATTGGTGACGCGAAGCGTCGTGGGGGCGTCCTTGGACGTCTGGGGTCTCCTGGGGCCTCTTGAGGGGCCTCCTGGGGGCCTCCTGGCGGCCTCTTGGGGCGGAAGGCTCGAGCTTGCGGTTCGTGGTCCCCCTCTGGGCCCCCTCTTGGGCCCGTCTTGGGGCCCTCTTGGGCCATCTTGGGCGCCTCTTGGGCCGTCTTGGGGCCCTCTTGGGCTGTCCTTGGGCCTCCTTTGGGCCTCTTGGGGGTCTCCTGGGGCCTCTTGAGGGGCCTCCTGATGGCCTCCTGGCGGCCTCTTGGGGCGGAAGGCTCGAGCTTGCGGTTCGTGGTCCCCCTCTGGGCCCCCTCTTGGGCCCGTCTTGGGGCCCTCTTGGGCCATCTTGGGCGCCTCTTGGGCCGTCTTGGGGCCCTCTTGGGCTGTCCTGGGGCCCTCTTGGAAGCTTCTTGGGCCGTCTTGGGGCGGTCTTGGGCGCCTCTTGGGCCGTCCTGTAACGTCGGAAAGCCCAAAAGACAACTTTGTTGAAAATGTACGTTTTACGAAGGGAATGGGCCAATTTTTGCATCTAGGGGCCCTCTTGGGACGCATGTTGGAGGCTTCTTGGGGCCTCTTGGGGGCGTCCTTGGACGTCTGGGGTCTCCTGGGGCCTCTTGAGGGGCCTCCTGGGGGCCTCCTGGCGGCCTCTTGGGGCGGAAGGCTCGAGCTTGCGGTTCGTGGTCCCCCTCTGGGCCCCCTCTTGGGCCCGTCTTGGGGCCCTCTTGGGCCATCTTGGGCGCCTCTTGGGCCGTCTTGGGGCCCTCTTGGGCTGTCCTGGGGCCCTCTGGGAAACTTCTTGGGCCGTCTTGGGGCGGTCTTGGGCGCCTCTTGGGCCGTCCTGTAACGTCGGAAAGCCCAAAAGGCGACTTTGTTAAAAATGTACGTTTTACGAAGGGAATGGGCCAATTCTTGCGTCTAGGGGCCCTCTTGGGACGCATGTTGGAGGCTTCTTGGGGCCTCTTGGGGGCGTCCTTGGACGTCTGGGGTCTCCTGGGGCCTCTTGAGGGGCCTCCTGGGGGCCTCCTGGCGGCCTCTTGGGGCGGAAGGCTCGAGCTTGCGGTTCGTGGTCCCCCTCTGGGCCCCCTCTTGGGCCCGTCTTGGGGCCCTCTTGGGCCATCTTGGGCGCCTCTTGGGCCGTTTTGGGGCCCTCTTGGGCTGTCCTGGGGCACTCTTGGGAGCTTCTTGGCCCGTCTTGGGGCGGTCTTGGGCGCCTCTTGGGCCGTCCTGTAATGTCGGAAAGCCCAAAAGGCAACTTTGTGAAAAATGTACGTTTTACGAAGGGAATGGGCCAATTTTTGCGTCTAGGGGCCCTCTTGGGACGCATGTTGGAGGCTTCTTGGGGCGTCTTGGGGGGCGTCCTTGGACGTCTGGAGGCCATCTTCAGCATCTCGGAGCCCTCTTGGAGGCCTCTTGGAAGTTTCTTGGGCCGTCTTGGGCGTTTCTGGGGCCGTCTTGTCTGACCGGGGAGGCCTCCGGCAAGCCCCGACGAGCCTCCAGGCCCCCCGGGGTGCACATTTGCGGTCGAGGTCCCGGCCCCGGGCCCCCGGACCCGGTGCGCCGTTATGTATATATATATATATATATATGTGTATACATATGTATGTACGTATGCATGGATGTATATATATATATATATATATATATATATATATGTATGCATGCATGTTTGTACGTATGTATGTATGTATGTATGTATGCATGTATGTATGTATGTAGGTAGGTAGGTAGGTAGGTAGGTAGGTAGGTAGGTAGGTAGGCAGATATGCATGTATGTGTGTGTATGCATGTATGTATGTCTGTTATAAGTATGCATCTACATACACATATATATATATAACTACGTCTACATGGAAACATATGCATATACACATGTCCATATGTGTTTATAAATGTGTATATCGCAAAAGCGTATTGGTAAAGAGAGCTATCTGTAACCGTGCTCCCTGGCATGTTGAGGCGTGGAGAAATGACAAGGCATCCCTCCGTTCTTTGGTTTTTAAGAAATGCCAGGGGGCCGCCCCTCCATCTACTCGCGGACTGCCGCGTGCCTCTGCCCTACTCACCGAGGCCACTCCTCTCGTGCCCGCTCGAGGATGGTGCACCTCCAGCATGGCAGCTGGCGCCTGAACCTCCAACTCCACGCGAACCCGCTCGAGGACACTGTATTTAGAAGAAATAGAACTATGCACATACACCGGTTTAGGCCAGGCCCATCCTGAGCCCAGGATCCGTGCATATGCCCTCCGCTTACCTTGGC